TCTTAAGGTGATTTGAAGAATATATGTCTTTTTCTGCCAGTGCTGGTGAAGGGATAGACTATCAACATATAGTTTTCACATTTTGGCCATAGCCACATACTGAGCATCTTTAGCATTACCACAACAAGAGAGAAACAAGCCAGCTGGCATCCTCATGCCCAGCACAAGACCTGGTAAATCAACAGGAGAATCTGGGCCCAAAGTCAGGGATCCTAGGTAGGCAAAAAGGCCTTCTGACAGAAAAATAAAACTGCAACTCTGTTTATCAGTCACATTCCTGTGATTAACTCAGGGCATTACACACAGTCCCATTGACTGAGCAGTAAGAGGCAGGTTTGTAGCCTGGATCCTGCTCCAGTCAAAAAGCACATAACCATTAAGTGAGATGGTTCACCACAGATCTCAAGTCATCCTGGCAACTACTCTATTCTCTGACATGTCAAAAGTGCCAGACAACAAATTATTGTGGCAGTAAGGAGGTGGGTTAATGCAAATGGACACCTTTCCATGGGATCTGGGGGTGTTGGTAGAGGGTGTTCACCCCTTTTGAATCCTGTACAGTGGTGCCCTGCTTGATGACGATAATCCATTCCAGCGAAATCGCTGTAGAGTGAAATCGTGGTGAAGCGAAAGTTTAAAAAACCCATTAGAATGCATTAAAAACTGGTTAATGCGTTCTAAAGGGGGAAATACCTCATCGTCCAACGAAGATCCTCCATATGGCGGCCATTTTCCGGTGCCTGTAAAGCGAGGAATCTGTCCTAAATGCAGCGGGGAGCCATTTTGCACAGTGGGGAGCCATTTTGCGACCCACCGATCAGCTGTTTTAAAACCATCGTTAAGCGAAAAATCGGTTCCTGAAGCAGGGAACTGATCATCGTTAAGCAAAAAAACCTTTGAATCATCGTTTTGCGGTCCCAATAGCGATCGCAAAAAACTCATCGTAAACCAGATTCGTCATCAAGTGGTGTAATCGTCAGGCGGGGCGCCACTATATTTGGTATTTCTATAAAAGCACCCAGGTAAAAACAATAAATGCACCCAGGTAAAAACTACATTTAGGTCAACCATCCAAAAGTGTAATTATCAGAGCTTGCCATCCTAGAATTATTTCTGTGGATGCCTTTTCATCTGCCTGATGTGCCTTGGTTCAAGCGACCAAAGGCAGCACAATAATCAGTACCTTTGCACTAAAATCAGAGCCTGGAAATGTTTCTTGTTTTGGATTACACAGTCATGCTGACTAGAGGATTCTGGGAGTAATTGTTTTTGTTTTTAAGTACAGTATTTCCAAGTTCTGGAGAAAACAAGAGTTATCTGCTGGAGAAAAAGACTCTCTAGGCAAGCAATCTGGCCTCACGGTGGTCAACCAGATATTTTTGGAGAGCCCACAAACATAATGGCAATCTGTGAGAGGCAAAACCATAGCTTGAGCAAAGGTGTGTCAACTTCATTCTGGTGTGGGTGTGGGTGTGGGTGCGAGCCATTCCCCCTCCCATTGTTCAGACCAGTGGCTGCTGGTCATGAGAGACACAACTGTTTCTCATCCTTGTGGCAATATAGAGCCATGGTACCAGTCGTCTTATCCACCACGCCGAATCTTTAGCTGTCTCGCCTGCAGTGGTAAAGAACCTTGCTTCCATGGCTAACTGGAGAAGAAAGACCCTGCTTTTTAAAGATCCTGGCCTTCTAGTTCTCTGGGTTCACATGCAATCCTTCCTTCTCCAGTAGCAAAGGACTTCTCACTAAGAAGCATGGCGATCGCTGACTGACTGCGTGGTAAGCCAGTGTTTTCTTGAGCTGTAGCCACACAAGGGGTGGCTTCAGGCCATAAACGCATCCAGCCCATGCTGTCGTTCTTCCTCTGACTCTAGCGGGACTCTGGACGAAGGAGCTGAGGCCATATGGAGCCCCAGCCTGTCCTGGAATGCGAACAGCAGAAGAATTTGGCCAATTCAGCAAATGGAGCGCATGATGTCCAGAAAGAGGCCCAACTCAGCGAACTCCCACTAGAGCTCTGGAAATGCGCAGCGGGGAGGGTACCTGTGATGAGGATGATGGTGGTGGCGGCGGCGGTGCTGCTGCTGCTGCCGCCCAGGGCAGGAGCTGCGGATGGGCCAGCTGGCTTCCCGCGCCCTTCCATCCACGCAGGCTCCACTCCCGCCGCCGCCCCCCCACACCCGGGCAAATCACCTCGACACCGTCATCTGAAACCGTGTCCCAGCTGGATGGCAGTGTGGTTGCCATGGTGACAGCGGGATGCTGGTTGCCTCGATAAGCCTCAAGATTTCAAGTCTCTCTCCGCCCACGCAGCTTTGGGCCAATGCTCCCGGCTCCTTCCTGCCTTCCTTCCCTCTTTCTCCTCCTCCTCCCTCCCCTCCTCTCCCCACCAGCCCGGCACGAGGGGACAAGGAGAGCAGAGCCCGCGCGCCCGCGGTGCCTAAAAGCCTTGCCGGCTGAGTGGCAAAGAGGGAGGGGCGTGGACCTTCTTTTCCCCGAGGCCGCGCTTGGAAGGGAGGGCGGTAGCTTGGAGACGGTCTCTATGGAGGCCCCTTCAGACAAACCGGGGAGCTTCATGAATATGCAGTGGCTGCAGCTTTAATTTCACTATATTCTCTTTTCTCCTTTCCTTGCTCCGCTCCACCCCACCCCCCACCCGCTTCTGAGGGCAGGCAAGCTGCTTCCAGAAACATGCGTAGGTTTTCCTCTCCAGGTGGGCAATGCTTGCGCCACCCCGGCGGGGCAAGGCATTCTCTTTCACACACTCCCTTTCCTTCGTTAATTTCCCCCTATTCACGGGAAGCCCCCGCCGTGCCGCGCGTGACCTGCAGTTAATGTCAACCAACCAATGCAACGCTGAAGGCGGCGAAGGGCTTGGCTTACCTTGCAACGAGGTGATTTCCCCCCTCCCCCGGTTTATTATTAGGCGGGCAGGCGTATTGCGGGGAAACGGGGAGGCCTGTGCGGAGCCAGCGCCTTTTGTTTCCCCTTCCCTGCCAAGCTGTAGCTAATTTGGAAGGAGCACGGAGGCGAGCGTGTCAGCGGGAAGCGGGAGAAGCGGCTCCCCTCACCCTTTTGATGGATCCCACTTCCACAAATACAGGATATACTGTACATGTTCCAGGGGAAACCGGAGGTAGCAACGTGTTCCAGCACAAAGAATGTGCCTTATTTTCTGCCATTAACATGTATTGGCTTACATGTATTGATTATGTATCGATTATATTAAGTATTGTTGATTAGTCAGAGACGGCGTGCTTGGCTCTGCCGTTCATTCTTCCTCACGACAACCACGTGCGGCCGATCAGTCTAAGAGAGAGGAACTGGCTCAAGGTCCTCCGAAGAATATCAAAATAATAATACAGTAATAGATAACTTGGAGGGCAGAGGTCTAAAGTTAATGCTAATATTTGTGTATATGCGTGTATGTTTTAAAATAAATGAATTCGAAGTGTGGGTTTTAATCTATGAAGTCCGAAAGGGCTTGAGTCTAAGCTATTTCAGGGACTTTATGAGCCTGCTCAGGTTTTAAGATCATCAGGAGAGGCCGTTTTCTCAGTCCCACGAGCCTCACAGGCTGGCTTGGTAGGGACAGGAAAGAGGGCTTTTTCTGTTGCTTTTCCCAGGCTTTGGAACTCCCTCCCACAGGAAGCCAGACTGGCACCATCTTTGCTGTCCTTCTGCAAGCAGGCAAATACCTTTTTCTTCAGACAGGCTTTCCCTTAGTGACTGGCTGCCTAAGAGTGCTTTAGAACAGATGATTTGTATTTATGTTGCTTTTAAAATTGTTCTTAGTAGTGATTTTATTTGCTACTTTAAATATAATATTTAATTCTTTTTAAATACTGGTGTACTTACTGTTTTTAGCATTTAAATATTATCTTTTTAATGATGTAAACCATCTTGGGTCCTTTGTAAGGGGAAAGGTAGAGTTAAAATATTATAAATAAATAAACTAGAAATTGAAAAAGGCAGATGTTTGATCCATATCCAAAATGACCTTGGGGGATAAAATGCAGAATTCAGCATTAGGTAAAGGTAAAGGTTCCCCTTGACAATTTTTGTCCAGTCGTGTTTGACTCTAGGGGGCGGTGCTCATCCCCGTTGCCAAGCCATAGAGCCAGCGTTTTGTCTGAAGACAATCTTCCGTGGTCACATGGCCAGTGCGACTTAGACACGGAACGCTGTTACCTTCCCACCAAGGTGGTCCCTATTTATCTACTTGCATTTGCATGCTTTCGAACCGCTAGGTTGGCGGGAGCTGGGACAAGCGACGGTCGCTCACTCCGTCGCGTGGATTCAATCTTACGACTGCTTGGTCTTCTGACCCTGCAGCACAGGCTTCTGCGGTTTAGCCCACAGTGCCACCACGTCCCTTACTCAGCATTAGGTACAGAACTCAAAATTCTGAATTTCAATTTTCACTTTAAAATGCAAAACCAAACAGAGATTTTTATGCTTTGGGGACGGTGGAGCTGCTAGGCTGCTGAGATTTCTGAACCCTCCGTGACTTTCTGGTGGGATTTTATTGTCCTCCGTAGTTATTTAGTTTTCCTGAGGACAACTACAATAGAATAGATGGTTTAAACTAAGCCAATATTGATGAAATCTACATTAATGTTCCTAATTTTTACAGATCCTAGCTTTCAGTGTATGCGTGCGTGCGTCTGTGTATGCATGTGCATGCACTGAAGTAGTAATTCCTCTTGTGCAGAACTGTAAAAAGAGATATACAGAGACTCATTCTTATTGTAAGAGCCAGTGTAGTGGAATGGATAGAGTGTCAGATGGGAGATCAAGAGATTTTGGGTTCAAAATCTCAGTTGGCTCTGGAAAGTCACTAGGGGCTGTCACTGATTAGACCACTCCTTAAATATCTCACTTAACCTGAAAGCCCTAGTTTAGGTTGCTGTAAGTCAGAATCAACCTGGCAGCACAAAACATGCACATTCTTGTTTTACCCACTACATTTAACCTGTTGGGGTGATTCTGTCTTCCAGGGCATTGTACACCTATGAAGATGACTCTGATAATCTGAAGCTGGCTGCCTCAGGAAGTGAGTATTTTCCTACTTCCTTATTTTGTTTTGCCTCTCCAGCCCTAGCAGTTTTCAGTGTCCCAACAGCTTCCTTCTTTCTTAAGTTTAAAACCCACCCACCCCCTTTCTTCAACAGGCTATCAGTGGGCTTTCATTGGGCAACAGACGACCTGTGGCCCTTGGCAGGATTATATTCAAAGGGTGGAGGGAGCATTTTCACATTGATAATGCATTCTTCCTCCATCCTTCCACTCCTTCCCCCAAAGGCTACAAAGGTTTTGGGCAATTGTCTTGTGTCCCATGAATGTGTTGCTTTCTTTCCTCAGCTGGTGGCCTACAAGAGCTCTCCAGCCATTTTGAGAATCAGAAGGTGATGTACGGATTCTGCAGTGTCAAAGATCCCCAGGCCACCCTACCTAAATATGTCCTCGTTAACTGGGTAAGGCCTACTTCTTCAAAAGAATGGGCGATGCAGGTTGCCCTATTGAAGTGATATAATCTGTGTGCACAATATCCCATTAACATTGACTGGTCCTCACACACGGAGAAGAGTTTTGTATCTTTTTAGAGTTGTGCAGGAAGGGGAAATTCTGCCAGACACAGCTTTTCCTGTCACTGCAGTCGTGTTGGTGGAGAAAACCACACAATGAGAAATTCCATTGTGTGCTTTGTGAAGTCCTTTGGACTCTCCAGACTAGGCAGGCCCGTGTAGATTAGAGTTCAACATGAACCTAGTCAGCCAGATATACAGTGATACCTTACTTAGCACTCAGGATACATTCTAAGAAAACAGGGTGCTAACCAAATCAGCAGTAAACAGGATTTTGACATTACACAGTACCTTATGCCAGGAGTTCTAGAGGACCAGTCTACCTCCAATGTAGTATGGATAGACCATGTCCACATCACCTGGAGACCTAGTCTCTCTCCTTTAGGTAGACCAGGCCCTTGTGAAGCACCACAAAATGGACACTTGAGCACATACACTGTAACAAATCAGTGCTAAATAGTGCAGTGCTATAAAATTGTTGTATCATGTGAAGGCTATGGGTATGTGCTTGAAAGTTCAGCCTTAGGGCCAGTCACAGTTTATTTTACTTCTATCTGAATATAATGTCTGTTTATGAAATAATGTGTACCCCATTTTTTGTCATTTTCACATGTTGCCACAAATTTAGGGATATTTAAAGCTGGCTTTAATAGGGACAACACAATGACCTTCCAAGTACAGTGGTGCCTCACTTAACGGGCGCCCCGTTTAACGACGAATCCACATAGTGACGGATTTTTTGCAATCGTTTTTGCGATCGCATTGCGATGTTTCTAATGGGAAAAAATCGCTTTGCGATGATCAGTAAGCTGTTTCGCTTACCGATTTTCGCATAACAATGATTTCCCAACAGCTGATCGGCGGTTCCAAAATGGCCGCCGCGTAGAAAAAATGGCCGCCTGCTGTGTTTTCGCCCGGATTCCTCGCTTACCGGGCAGCGAAAATGGCTGCCGTATGGAGGATTTTGACATAAAGGTGAGTTTTTTGCCCATAGGAACACATTAAACGGGTTTTAATGCATTCCTATGGGCTTTTTTATTTCGCATAGTGACAAATCCGTATAGCGACGATTTTGGCTGCACAGATTATCGTTGCTATGCGGGGCACCACTGTACGTAGAAGTATCTACTGGAGGATTGGGCTTCCATTAATGGATCTGCACTGCCCTCTAGTGAAATTAGACTCTGGATTGTCCCTAACCATCCAGCAAGTAGATTGCTGTAACACAGTTTCCCTGAAAATAAGACCTAACCTGAAAATAAGCCCTATCATGATTGGTTGTTGTGGGTTTTTCGGGCTCTTTGGCCGTGTTCTGAAGGTGGTTCTTCCTAACGTTTCGCCAGTCTCTGTGGTCGGCCTCTTCAGAGGACAGAGTGCTATCCTCTGAAGATACCGGCCACAGAGACTGGCGAAACGTTAGGAAGAAAATCCTCCAGAACATGGTCAAAGAGCCCAAAAACCCACAACAACCATTAGATCCCGGCCGTGAAAGCCTTCGTGAATACCTAGTATGATTGCTGTAATATAAGCCCTACCCCCGAAATAAGCCCCAGTTAAATGAAACCCATTGTGCAGCAACCAGAAGAAGATGACATGACTGTATCTGAATAAATGTAGACTGTTATACATGAAAAAATTAAAACATCCCTTGAAAATAAGCCCTAATGCATTTTTGGACCCTGTCTTACTTTTGGGAAAACACAACACATTTTTCTCCTCACTTCATCAGGAATTTCTTCCTGCCCATGCTTGTGTCATCTAAGTCACATGCTGGATAGTGACAGTTGTTAAACACAAATTTTTGGATACAACATTTTAGCAGGCATTTATAAATTCATTAATTTATTTGAAAGTCTTCCTGGAAGTACGAAGTGCTAACTTACCTTAAAAAAAAACTAAAGGAAGAAGTTGCAGCTGAAGTAAACAACCTTTAAAATCCAGATATTTGAAATAGCCATCGTACTGATTTCTATGAATTCATCAAGGATTGAGAATTCTGGGCAGCTGTTTCCTGTTGCTCTTGCTTGACTAGACTCAAGTGGTGAAATATCATGGCATGTGGTGTGCTTGTAAGTAAGTCAGGAAAGAGCTTGGAAAAAAATTCTTTGGGGGCTTACAGTTCTCAGCAGAAGCTGCTGACTGAGGGATTCTGGAAGCTGTAGACAAAATTTAAGAAAATATTTTTAAAAAAATAAAAAATAAAAGTATTTGAACTGTGCTCCAGGATGGTGCAACTAGGGGTGGTTCCGTATGTGGCTTTTATAGGACATCCTCTCTTCGCAGAATTTCACCCAGGCTCCAGCCAACAAAATCTTCCATTTGTGCTTCCCTCTTGCATTATCCCACTGTGTCTTCCTGTTTTCCTCCTTTTTCTTATTACTGGGAATATGTTAAGGAGGAAAAGACAAAATATCTTCCATGGGAAAGCACTTAGTATATAGAGGCAGCTGAATGTTGCACCCATCTGCATAGCAAAGTGGTTATTGCCCTTTTATTGCAACACCACAGGGTCTTGGTTGTCAGCCACTGATTAAAAAAACGGATGTCACACATGGCTGGATTCTGCAGAGTAGGATTTCTTTGAGACTGCAGCTTCTTTGCAGTGAGTCTCTATGTGGCCATAGTACAGCATATAGTCATCTGCCTAGCAACAATCCTATCCCTATCTTTGGGCTGCCACATCTATTCTTAAGAAAGTGTGCTTCCAGTTCTTGCTTCTTAGCAAAAGGTCCCAGGAACCCTTTCAGAAAAGAATGGCTGTTGCAGAGACTGAGGAAGAGCATCAGGGGCAAGAAGGTTGCTTCCTCAAATGGTTGTCACAGTGATAATGCCTGCTTTTCTGCTTTACACCCAATATTGTGGAGATGGGTCCTTCTGTAGCATAAACAGCTGTATCTGCCTTAGGAACATAGGAAGCTGCTGTACGCAGAGTGAGACCATTGATCCATCTACCACAGTATAGTCAACTTGGAGAGGCAGAGATTCTTCAGACTTTCCTAACTGTGTTTGGAATCCCTGGTGCTACCTGATGCTCTCCTAGTAAATGCTATCCAAGCCTGACCCTGCTTAGCTTCTGAAATCGAACAAGATTGGATGTGTTCAGAGTCATATGATGAATTGTACCGTACAGCCCTATTCCAAACCCCAGGGAAACCTGTTGGGTTTCTTGCATACTTTGTTTTATGTGCCAGCCTTTGTTTTACCAACTTTTTATTTTTAAAATATCCTGCAGATTCAAGGCAATAAAATATCAAAATGTAATTAATTGCAGCAACGTACTTGAAACAATCACGACTTTATGAAAGTTCGCGTTGTAACAGATGAGCCTACATTCCGTTAAACGCAACCTAGCCTAAACAGGCCTCTAAGGAAAGATGTAAGGCTAAACATGCGCACCCCATAACTAGTGTTTTAGGAGGATGGGACCCCTACAGAAAAGGGTCTCTCTGTCTTGCCAATCATCCTGATACGTTTCCCCAGTGAGCATGTGAATCAAACCACTATGGCTGTCCGGAGGGCCCAGGGTGATTTGCGTAGGTGCAGGCATCTCAGACTTTTTGGAGGTGACCACTGGCACTTTACCTTGGGTTCTGAAGAGCATTGGCAACTTGCACAGCTCTTACAGAATAAGCCCTGAGCAATGGTTGCACCTTCTGGGCTGTCCAGATCTGCTTCCAGTAGGGTGTATGTAGGCACATGCAAAAAAAACAAAAACAAAAAAAAACGAGAGAGAGAGAGAGAGAGAGAGAGAGCCTACTTCTGTCAATGCATGGTATGGCATGTCCCATGATGTTCTTTCTTATGCTTGGCAGGTGGGAGAGGATGTTGCTGATGCCCGCAAATGTGCCTGTGCCACCCATGTGCCCAAAGTGGCAGAGTTCTTCCAGGTCAGTGATGAGCTATGAGTGAGAGGTGTGCAGATGGAAACGGGGGAGGCTGCATCCAAATGTGGAGGTGACAGCCAGCTTACACTTTTGCAGCATGAGGCCGGGCTTCATGAAGAGGTGGAATACAACTGCTCCATGTAAATTCTGTAGAACTGAGCTGTTGGAAAGGGGTTTGTGCTAGTTGAGGTGACAGTCAAGACCTTAGAAAAATTACTTCTGGGCGGAAGGATGCAACTGCCAAGATCTCCTAGCTATTACTTTGCAAGTTGCAGTCCAAATAGGTAACTTCTCCAAACCTGAATTTTAGTGATTGTATTTCTAGGCTGTGCCTTGATTTCTTGTTTCAGATTACTGGACCTCTCTGTTTAACTGTATGACTTAAATGTCTGTCCTAATAGGGTGTGGATGTGATTGTCAATGCTAGCAGTGTGGAAGACATTGATCCAGGAGCTATCGGACAACGGCTCTCCAATGGCCTGGCCCGCATCGCCAGTCCGGTCCTGCATCGTCTTCGCCTGCGCGAGGATGAGAATGCCCAACCTGTGGTAATGCTCTTTTCTCCCTCTTCAACCAGCCAACCTCACATTTTCTTTTCCCTGTGAAAGACAAGACAGAAGCAGCAGGAGGACACCAGCTAATTTGGAGGTTAAGGAAGAAGGCTTTAAAAAGGAGAGATAATATCTATGGCCTTATATTCATTTTATTTCATTTCATTTACATGCCACATTTCTCTGAGTTAAGGGATCCAGTTAAGGTGACAGCTAGCATACAGTTTCATGTGCACTATGAATACTACCGAAGAAGTTATAATCTTCCCTGAAAAGTTTCTGAGACCATTTCTAGTGAATTATCCCACACTATTATTATGCATTATGAAGTGTAGCGGTGTTAATGCCAGGCCACTCCAGTAAAAAAAAAAATCAGGCAGCAGCCTTTTCTTCTGGGTTGGAAGCATCTCCTGCTTGAAATGTAGGAGCACACAGAAACACTTACCCATGCACACACCCACACAGACACTTCCTTTAACAGGGTTTTGTCATTTCAGGGCACCACCTATCAGAAAACTGATGCCGCCGTGGAGATGAAACGACTCAACCGAGAGCAGTTCTGGGAGCAGGCTAAGGTAGGCGAGGGAGTTCTGCCTCTGGGCAGGTAACCCACACACACACACACCTGTAACCCTGGCTTCGCTTGCCTTCATTGCCTAGTCAGCCTTGTGGTGCAGTGGCCTGATCTGAGTGAGGCTGACACCTACGGTCCTTTTCCTGTCCCTTGTAGAAAGAAGAGGAGCTGCGCAAAGAGGAAGAGCGGAAGAAAGCCCTGGATGAGCGGCTGCGTTTTGAACAAGAACGGATGGAACAAGAAAGGCAGGAGCAGGAGGAACGCGAGAAACGCTACCGGGAGCGCGAGGAGCAGATTGAGGAACACAGGCAAGGGAGTCAGCCTGGGAATCTCGCTGTGGCAGTACAGTAGGGTAGATGAAGGGAAGAGAGAAGGCAAGGTTAAGGTTTATTGCCAAGCCACATTAGATAAATGTTAATTCGTGTTGCACCAGTAGCTAGGGTCGTTCCTGTTGCATGCTCTCTGACAGTGCCACGTGTTAGGTTCAGAATATTTTGAGCCCTTATATTCCCTTGCCTTTCATGACTCAGATACTGAGAGTGTGTGTTCTGATTGATTGATTTGCCTTGGTCCTTCCTCCTCTCCTAGGATCAGACCTATTTCCTCCTTCATTCCTTATGATACAGTGATGCTACCAGCGGTAATACAAGAAAATCTGTTTCATGTGCTTAGTCAAAATAGTCTCCTCCACCACCACATTTCTCATTGGCTGTCAAGCTGCACATCCTCCTGTCTGGCCTCACTGCCTCCTGGTTATTACTGAACCTTATGCCACCTGTGCCCATTTTAGTGGGGGTCAGTTTTAACTTGTGGCTAACATGAGGATTCAGTTTGGTGGAGCTCGTCATTGAACTAGTTTGTCAATGTTTTGATGAGCCAGTGAGCTGTTTGACACAATTTTCAGTAAACATTTCTCCCAAGGAGCTTATTTTTTCAACATGCCTGTAAGGTAGATTAGTCTGAAAGACAGTTATTGGTTGTGGGTTACACAATTATGCTTAATGGAATGGATGGGGATTTGAATTTGCCCCAGCTGCGTGCAAGATTTTATTCACAAAACTAGTACTCTTTTAAACTCATTGGTTTTGGAGAGTCTTGGGGTTCCTTTTATTATAAGCAAAGTTTGAAAATAATGCATTAAAATAATGATGTTGGTTTTTTTTTTAGTAACTAGGGCCAATGGTGTTATTTTTAATCATTTAACACATTGTACATGATGCTAATATTGGTCTTTCTCTTTCATTCTGTTTGGAGTAATAAATAACATTTACTTGTTACTTCATAACATATTTAGGGAGATTCTGGGGAAATTGAAGGCATTTCTGGACATTTAAAAATCACTTAAAAATAAACAAATGCTAACATGTTGATAAAATATTGCTAAGAAAGAATGTAATACAATGAGTGGGGAGTTGTTGGCAAATAGCATGTAACTACAAAATTTTTTTTAAATACATTAATGCTAGTATGTTAGCTTTTAAAATAACTTTTTCAAGCTCTGTTTGGAAACTTACACAAGGACAAGTCATGGCAGACCATTTCTTCGGAAAGACGACTAGCTGGTTGTTCTTTAGAACAGGGACTCCTCACCTTTGATTCTCCAGATGTTCTGGACTTCAGTTTCCAGAAGCTTCAGAATGGATTATGGCCATAGATTCTGAAAATCCAAACCATCTGGAAGCCCAAAGGTTGAAAAAACCTATTGATCACCCGTCAAAAAAGGTGAGGCACCAGATGCTGCTCAGTGAGTGAGCACCCTGGAACACTTGTGAACATAAAGTGGATTGGGATCTTAGGATAAATGTAACAAAAGCAACAGCTAAGGAGCTTCTCTGATGGGTGCCCTAAATTAGGATCCTGAAAAAGTACTCCTAAGGAAGGTCCAGGAGCCAGTTTTTGTGTGTGAGAAAATGTAAGCTTGGTTCTTGTGCTGACTGCAAACTCTTGGATTGATCCTTTGTTCAGAGTAAACTCCTCGTTCCTTAACTGTTCAGAGTGTGTGCCTGTGTTCCTGAGTGTCTCTTGTCTGTGGTTCCAGCTGGTGATAAGCGTCGACTCCCAGCAGCCTAGGTTGAAGGGACATCAGGAAGGATAGGTCTTTTACCATTTCCTTCATATTTGTTTGGGGGCAGGGCAAATGTTCTCCCAGGAGCCACTGAAGTTTTCACTGTTTTGAATTGCATTTGAGTAACCAAAAAATTGAATGAAAATCCATTTTATCGTTTTCAAAGATTGAAAGGATCTTTGCAGCTCACGGGAGGGCAGTGTGTGTGTGTGTGCATCCAGGATGGCAGTGCTGTTTCGTAACTGGTAAAAAATAACTAAGGCTGAAGTTCTAGAGGCCTGAGAGTGAGTCAGTGCCATTGAACTCACTGAGGTTTGCTTCTGAATAAACATGCTTGGAGGACTGAACTGTGTATCTCTTGAGTGTAGCACTAAAAGTCAAAACGGCCTTCAGATTTTGCCATACATCTCCCATTAACCTTGATGGTTGGCTCTGGTGGCTGGGACTGATAGGTATTGAAGTCCAACACCATCTGGAAGCATTCCCATCCTTAAAGCTAATGCATGTGTGTAAAGATAGCAGTGGTGAAATTTTAATGGAGAGTTGGATTGAATGTGTCCTTGATTGGACATTTACGTGGATACCCTGTTCACCTTCTGCTGCAGAAGAACTATTTTTTCACATGCCAAGAGTGGATCTTGGCTACATTTGTGCCACGTTTTATGCCAACGTGAAGTGGCAGGGTTAGAAATTAGAGTAGCCTCTTGTGAACCTGTCTTAATTGATTTGCAAACAACAACGTAAGAAATATGATAGATTGATTTGAAAAGTATAATTCCTTTGAAGGAAAATCAGATGTAACAATTTTTTTTTAAAAAAAAGATGTCAATGAAATCTGATGTGATACAAAATATGATACTTTTGTAGTACATTCAGAGACTTCAGGGACATTTTAGAGGAGTAGCTTGTGAATTACAGGAAGTAATGGCTGTTCTTCCTTGTTGACTGTACTGTGGCAGACAGAGGGGTTAGTTTAGGACACCTCCCACTGTTTTAAAAAAAGGCAGAGCAACATTTAGAGTGGAAGTAAAAGGGATTAATATGAACAATCCAGAATTCAGGAATTAAAAGATGTAGAAGAAATAAAATGTGATGCATTTAGGTCTGACAGTGCAATGTTGGGAAATACGTTGCATGCATCCTTGCTTGCCCCCACCCCAGATTTACCACTGTTGTTCCCAAATTTTGGTGCCTGTGGCAAAAGAAGCTGGCTTTTCATTTTAAAACAATGTATTGGAAGGAGTGCATTGTGCTACTTTACAGTCAGACCACAGGTGTGCATATGCATTTGTGTTTGCTACTGGTTTGCTGCCCAAATTCAGGGAAATGGCAGCAAATTCAGCAGCGCAATAGTTGGAAGAGCAGCCTGTGGTGCAGTGGTTCCCAACCTTTGGTCCCCAGATGTTCTTGCAGTACTATTCCCAGAAATCCTGGCCAACACAACTAGTGGTGAAGAACATCTGGGGATGCAAGGTTGGGAACCACTGCATGGGGCAGTGTTCTTCCTTTTATAACCACAGAGACGTTTCCCATCCCTCTGTTAAAGAAAATTCAAGAGAGTATACAATAGCATCTTTCAGATACATGTAGATTTAGAATGAAAAGCTGGAGGTCAGATTGTTCTCTGTGGCTCCTGAATGAATGAGGAGATTGATTTAATGCTGGGATGGGGAGGAATGAAGTACTGTATTAGAAGGCCAAGCCAGCCTGCAGGCCTACTAAGCCTTCCTGAATTCAGTGCTTGACCATTTCAGACCTTCTTCTTTCTCATCCTATTAGGCGAAAGCAGCAGAGCCTGGAAGCAGAGGAAGCTAAACAGCGGTTGAAGGAGCAATCCATCTTTGTAAGTGATGCTTCAAGAGATAGGGGAGGGTTGCCCAGTTGTGCTGCTGGCTCCCCCAGGATACTGAGAGAGGTAGGAAGTCAGCACCAAGGCTGGCTGGTGACTCTGGGGTCGGGCTCTGCAGCCAGGGTGACACTGGATGAACAGCCTTTTCCTTGCTCCAGCTTTGAGCTAGGTCAGGGGAGAAAATAAAACAACAACTAGGGTCTTTCAGTGTGGTTGAGGTGCCCTGGGGCTGACGCTGACCTCTCTCCCTAGGGGGAGCAGGAGGACGACGAAGACAGGCAGCAGCCCAAAAAGTCTGAGTCGGAGGTGGAGGTGAGTGCGGCCCCGGGGCACAGCATGCATTGTGTAGGCAGCAGAGCGCCAATGCCACCCTACAGGGCTATTGCTGCATGAGGATTGTCACACTGTGTGCAAAGCATCAGCACGAGGCAGGGGAACCTCAGTTTTGGTGATCATTGTCATGTCGAGAAGATGGAGTGTGATGTTGATGAGTGGCAGTCTATGCTTAAGCAAGGTTGGGGGTGTGTGTCCCCTCTAATTTTGGGGAGCTAAGCACGCTCCTAGTGGTGTTTGTCTCTTCCTTGTTGCTACATGTTCATTTTGTCAGAAGCCAGTTTGTGGTGCTGTCTCTAGCTGGTGTCACTATGTGCTGCTGCTGCTGCTGCTGCTGGGTGGGGCATGTGGGGCGCACTTTTATGTATGTGGCACGTACCATATTTTGTCAGTGTTGCCCTGGCAGCTGCATGGGGTAGATGGGACATTGTTGTGTGTGGGAGGGGTGACCGGTTCAGTCTGTATTTGAAACAAGGGTGGTCAGTGTATGTTGAATGGCGGAGCTGCCCATGACCTTTCTCTGTCATGTCTTTTCCCCCTTGCATCCTGGCAGGAGGCAGCAGCCATCATTGCTCAGCGGCCCGAGAACCCTCGTGAGTTCTTCAGGCAGCAAGAGCGGGTGGCTTCGGCCAGTTCAGAGACGCCCCCACCCTTCAACAGAACAGGTAAGGAGCCCCACCATGGCCACCTGGTGGGGAAGGAAGAGGAGAAGACCAGGGAACTTGGGAGAGTTGGCTGGATGAGTTGTGCACAAACATTTCTAATGTTGAAACACAATGAAACAAATCGTAATGTTGGAACATGACTAAATTAAAAACAATTCGAGATGGATCTTTAAATGGAAGGTTGGTGTGTGCACCACTGAGGGCAATGCAGTGAGTTTCCAGACTCACAGATGGTTAGAACTGGGATAAAAGTAAAGCATAGTATTTTTTTAAAAGCATCGCAATTCATTTGAACCCAGAATGGGACAAAGATAGGTTGTTGCTGTGTCTTGTTACAAGGCAAACAGTGAGCATCCGGGGAAAATAGCATGGTGGCAAATACCTAAGTAGCAAAGGGTAGCACATAACCAAACTCTGGAACTCACTTGCACAGGATGTGGCTGGGCTCAAAAACTCCAAAACTTTTTTATATGTATGTGTATTATTTTAATAAATCAGTATGAACTACTGTACTAGAATATCCAAATTATTAAAGAGTTTTGATAGTTTTGATGAGTTTTCAAGATTAAATTATTTCTAAGCTTAGAGTGAGCATCTCTTATTTATAATTTATGTCAACCTCTTTTTTTTTAACTGCTTTTCAGTACAAAAAGAAGCAGTAGTAGTCCCCAGGGCAGTGTAGATGTAATCAGTAAAGAAACAGTCCTTGCCTTCAGGCTTCCAATGAAAAAGACACAACACAGAAGCAAAAGGAAGCAGGAAAGAAGGGGAAACAAAATTAGGAATTACAATCTTAGCTACAAAGTTCTTGTAACAACAAGCCAGATTGCATATAATAACGCATCTCATTTGAGAATTTAAGACTGATATCTGAAGTTAGGCCATAGGCACTGGTTTAGGAAATGTTCCACTGTGTCTAATTGTGTGGGGAGCCAGTCATTTCTGCTCATTGCTTCATGAGGCTTGAATCTTATGGCTGGTTTCTACAAGCGGTTTCCCAGGTGAAACATTTTGAAGCGGTATCTACAGAGCAAGCAGTTGCCTGTTTTAAATCTCAGTGACACTCTAGATATCTGCTTAGATTGTTTGGTTTGGGAGCCCTTGTTATTTTGGCCATCCTTGGACAGGAAGTGATCCAATAACTTTGGAACAGAAGGGAGGTAATAGCAAGTCTGCTTATACCACTGGAGTGTGGTGTTTGTGGAATGGTGTCACTGAAACTGGTCACCTTGATGGGTATACCTATCTATATGCAGGCATAAAAGAAGAGAGCAGGATGAATTATTCTGTGTTAGATGAATGCAGGGAGACCAGAAGTATTGCTTGGGGTTAGAATCAGTGTTGTCACAGTGCGCTTGTGTCTCTGGGCAAGATTCCCCTTAAAGCTGCTTCTGCAAATTCAGAGGGTTTTTTTTGGGGGGGGGGTCCAGCTTATGGGTGCTGCAGGACCACACATCCTCCTACATTATCAATAGTACTACTAGACTGTTGCTTTCTGCTGAGGAGCTCTGTGACACCTTTGCCTCTCCCTGTAACCTACGTTGGTTGCCCCTTTGGGCTGTTTTTGCTAGAGAGGACTATCCCTGCCTGGGATGAGCAAGAGCTTTTCCTGTGCATTGTGCTCTGGGGTTTGGACTTCCTGCACAGTAGCTTGGTTGGGCTGGCTCTTTGGGGCACCAGGCTGTCTGTTAATTGTAGAACTATTGGCATGAGCTTGTTTCCCAGCACCCTCACTTGTGCCTCCTGCCTCTTAACCTACACACTCCCGCTCCACCTTCTCACACTCCTTGGCCTTCCTTGTGCAGTCTGTGTCCTTTTGCACTGCTCTGTCAGGGCTCTCGTGCTCCCTAGGCACTGGCTTTGCTTCCTGCATCTCCCTGCCCTGCCACAGGCAGTGCCCTCCAGCTCTCCTTGACCCCCCCTCACTTTCTTTCCCTGCCTCCCCAGCCCTTAAAGTGGGCACTGATTGCCCTGCGGCATGAGGGGGGGCGGCTGATGGCTTGGGCAGCTGAAGGGGAGACTGACCATTCTCTTCTGCTTTCTCTGTCTCCGTCCGTCTGTCTGTCTTTCTCTCAGCAGGTCGTCTGCACTGTCCTTTCATAAAGACACCTGACAGTGGGCTGCCTTCCTCCTCCTCCTCCTCCTCCTCCCCTCCACGGACTCCCTTCCCCTATATCACTTGCCACCGCACACCAAATCTCTCCTCCTTCTTCCCATGTAGGTAGCCAGGCCCTGGCCGGGCTTTGGGAAGCTGGTTTGGGGAGGCAGATACTTAAAGGGCCTTGCCCCACCCCGTGCCTTACTTTTGGCCATGCCCCTCCCAGTGTTACCATCCCGGTACCTCTCTGAAAGGAGGAAATAACGTCCATGTGGCTGCCCAAGAAGCAGGCCCTGCAGAATGAACCTGGGAAGATCCAGGGCTTGGCTGCCCTCTCACATTTCCTGCATGGTGGACTGGCTTCCTGTGTCCCAAAGCATAGACCCAGGGGAGGGTGGGGCCTTGGCACTGGGCATCTGCATACAGTAGCTGCCATCCTCAGGACAGCTGATTGACCCCTGGGTCTATAATAAGGGAGCTTTTCCCTTCCTGCCCTTTCCTCCTTAAAATAAAAGTAAATGACAACCGCTGCCACCTTGGCAGGCAGGCTACTCCAGAAATGCTTCTCTGCCAGCAGCTGCATCCTAAAGCTAACCACTGGATCACAGTTTTGATGTTACGCAGATGGGGTGCAGTCTCCAGTATAAGACACCATCAGGCTGCCTGCAGTGGTCGAGGAGAGGCTCTTTTGCCCTCGGCCAAAAAAGGCAGGGTGGGAGACAGATGGAGTGGGAGCCTAAATCTGTACATAGGGAAAATGTAGACATTCACCAGCCTGCTGGGGCCTTGATGATGCTGGGCCAAGGGAATGCAGGGGAAATGGACCTGGGTGACATGGGGTGGGGCATAAGATGCTGTTACTGGGCAGTCTGGGTATGTGATGAATTTTGCAGGTCTGGGGTAGAGATGATCTGCCAGTGTTGTTCCCTGTTTAGATGTTTGCTGTGGATTGTTTTTCTAAGGTAGTAAAAGACAGGATTTATCCAATTATTGAAAGTGAGGGAGGGGACAACCTTTTTTTTTAATGCTGAGGACTGCAGAGGGGAAATTTGTTGGGGGGGCCATGTGACAAGAGTTGGTGGGAACACAGACAAAAATGGAAGAACCCTGCAACTTCTTTCTTTCTCCCTTGCTCTCACTCTCCTTCCCCACCTAGCAGGCTGCTAGAGAAAGGGACAAAGGGCGTTTTTCAGAAGCCCGAACTTATCCCTCGCAGGAGGCTTTTTGAAATTACACAGAGGAGCCAAGTGAGTTGAGGACTTAAGCTGCAGCTCACCCATCCCTGTTTGAAAGGGTCCTTTACCAGAAGAGACAACTTGCAGGATTGCATTTTCCCATATTTTTTTGAGTTGCCTCAGATCCCAGTGGGTACCACATTATGTCAGGGCTGTGTTTGCTCCAATAACACAGAGAAAGAGAGGGACCTCCACAGTTCAATTATTCAGTGTGTTTATTAATGAAAGCTAAGGGCTTCATCATGCAGCTTGCTTTGGGAAGGGTAGGTAATGCAGGACAGGGTGTTTTGTTCAGGACAATTAGCCAATTTAATAACTCTCTACACTACACTGTCCTAGCAGCTTGATACCATATTACAGGAGATGAATTCCTCCTACTGAATTCTCGGGTACATAGTTGGGTAAGGCCTTTAAAGGTCTTTGCTGCAGGGTGTTTGTGCATGCAAGCAAATTAGGCAGAGTATTCTGAAGGACCTCTCCAACCCAGAATTCTGTAAGAGGAAGTGAAGTCATTCAATGTGGTATCAAAATACTGTAGCAGTGTAGTGTAGAGACACTCCAGATACGCTGGGGAATGTTAAATTTGTGGGGAGCAGTTAGAGATTACCATTTTGTTTTCAAACGAAGCTGCAACATCTTTTGTGTACACAGTTGTTCAGGCCTTTATAGCTCTGGGGGTTGTGCCACTTGGCTTGTCAGCTCCCTCTTCAGTGCCTGTATGGCTCATTCACAGGCAGCCAGACGGAAACACACAGAAAGGTCTCTGCCACTAGCCCCTGTGACTCCAGTACAGCCTCCACGCCGGTTGGTGAGCAGATTGAGCGTGCCTTGGATGAGGTAACGCAGCAGGGTGCACTGAAAGGTAAGGGCAGGTCACCTCACCCTCTCTCTTCAAAGCCTGCACTGCCCAGCGTGCCCCTGTATGGCGTCGCTGGAGGTTCAGGCTGGCTACCCCATTCCCGGTGCCTCAGGTCATGGATTCCCTGGCCCTTGTCTGCTCACACCCACCCAAGGTCTCCTGTCCCTTCCTTTTCCAGACTCTTCCAGCCCAAGCAGTGAGGAAACAGCGGAAGCCCCTGCTGTGAGCTGGGCTCCTCCCAGTGTGGAGCAACCGGCGGAGAAGACAGAAGAGCTCCCTGGAGCCTCAGCTTGGCAGGCACCAGCGTGGACAGAGCCGCAGCAAGGGGAGGCTGGGCCCACTGAAGTCCTGGTATTCCCAGAGTCCAAAGAAGAGCCTCTTTTCCCAGAAGCTCCTCCTCCAAAAGAAGAGCCTCTTTTCCCAGCAGCCCCGCAGCCCATCCAGAGTGAAGGTACGGTGGATCTAGGGGAGGCCTTTGGGTTCTCCCAGCCACCAGCTCCCCCGGCCGAGAACATCCTTGACCTGTGGCAGAACGACAGCTCTGCGGTGGAGCCCACCCCTCCCGAGGCCTGGGAGCTCCAGCAGGGCGGTGGTCCCCCCACTCCAGCCCCGTGGGACCTTCACGATGGGCCTCCCATGCCTGCTGCTATGCTGGTGGAGGTGGATGTCCCTCCTGGAGAATCAGAGCCCCCCTCCTCGGCTGGCCTCCCTGAAGACAACCTGCTCAACTTCAATGACCTGCCAGAACCGCCGGCCACCTTCTGCGACGCTGAGCAGGACGAAGAGCCTGCCAGCATCATTGCCATTGAGGGGCTGCACCAGATGACACTCAGCTATCAGCACGCCCTGCAGGAAGCCTCTGGGGTGCACCAGGATTCCCAGTTGCTCACCAATGGGGAGACAGCCCAGAAGGAAAGCACACAGGTAAGAAAGGTCCTCAGGCTAAGAGGATTCCAAGGAGCAGTTCACAAGAGCCCCTTGGCTTCAAAAGCAGGGTGTACTGTCTGTTGGATCGATTGATTACAGGCCACCTTTCTCCCAATAAGGGGACCCAAGGTGGCTGTTGACATAACTCATCAGTGCATTGACGCACTATCTCATTCTTCTTGTCACCCACCCCACTTTTATTTCTCTTGAAAAGAAATAAAAGAGGTTTCATACATAGAGTATGTATGAAAGAGGTTTCATACATAGAGTATGTAGTCTTACATGGAATATGTTTCATTTAAATAGATCAGTAACCACACAATGCATTCTCATGCAGTCAAGGTGAATGAATGGAATATGTTTCATTTAAATAGATCAGTGCATTCTCATGCAGTCAAGGTGAATGGAAGGGCTGGCTCCTTTCCTGCCTCTTAACAGGCGGCTTGAGCAGTCTGCTCCAACAGCAGCCATTTTGCTTCGGCCAAATAGGGCAACCCCTGCTCATGTCCCTAAATCTTTGTCCCATTCCCCAGGGAGCACCACAGTGTGTTTTAGTTCCCTTCTGACAAAATGCTGAACACTCTGCTCTGCCCCCTCAGCTCAGTAGCTGGCAGTGGCTGGGCTGCCTGGCTTGTGCACCCATGCTCGCTCTTTCCTTCAGTTCCTTAGGCGTTTCACCCTACATGACTCTGCAGGCAAGCACTCCTGAGTCACCAGGCAGGAATTGGAGCTGAGAAGACCCACTGCTAGTTGGCCAGATTTGGTTCTTATCAGTTACAGCAGAGTTGCTCAAGACCCAGTCATTCATTTGTGAGAAGGGCAGCCATGCAGGGCATCCAGAGCCAAAGAGTCTCCCTTAGGTTTTCTATGAGACTGATAGGCTAATTCAGCTGTAGATGATAGCAGGGGCAGCAGTTACTGTAAGAGAAGGGAACAAAACAGTCGGCCCTAGGTAGGTTGGTGGCTCTGTTTCTATGTGAGTTTTAAGGCTATGTTAATGATGTACATGAGGGACGTGGTGGCGCTGTGGGCTAAACCGCAGGAGCCTGTGCTGCAGGGTCATAAGACCAGCAGTCGTAAGATCGAATCCATGTGACGGAGTGAGCTCCCGTTGCTTGTCCCAGCTCCTGCCAACCTAGCGGTTCGAAAGCATGCAAATGCAAGTACATAAATAGGGACCACCTCGGTGGGAAGGTAACGGCGTTCCGTGTCTAAGTCGCACTGGCCATGTGACCACGGAAGATTGTCTTCCGACATACGCTGGCTCTGTGGCTCTATGGCTTGGAAATGGGGATGAGCACCGCCTCCTAGAGCCGAACACGACTGGACAAAAATTGTCAAGGGGAACCTTTACCTTTACCTAATGATGTACAGGAGTTAGGGGTGGCCAGCTAGGATGGAATTGCAGGAGCCTGTGGTCTTTTCCAGGAATCATCAATCTCTTACTGTTTATCGTTGTTGTTATATTTTCCTGTGTTTTCCATTTTCTTCCTATTTTTTAACTGGCATACTGGGGACTGGAAGATTATTGTTGAATATTTCTCTGCATGCTGCAGAAGTGTCTCAGCTTAAGAGTGTATATATTTGAGGGGTGTCTCAGTTGTGAGCCTCTCAGAAACCCTCATGGACTTTTCTCCTCCTTTCCCCTTTTAAAAATTCTTACTTCCTCCAGCCCCCATCTTTTCAGAAAATATCTAACCAAGGAGATGGTTGTGCAGAATGAGAGAGTTTTCTAGGCATCCCGTCGCCCTTGCTGAGTTCATTGTTTTTCCATCCTCTTCCCACCCCTTCAGTTCTCTCTTCCCTCCCCCTCAAGCTCATTTTCTGCATTTTCCCAAATTTTAATAATTCTTCCTTTTTAAATATTCTTTAACCTGACATCCTGTGATGTGTGAGAACAGTTTTGAAATGGGGGTGTGGAACATATCTCCAAACAACTCCCTACTTTTTTTAAAAAAAATAGGTTTTAAAACAGTGATTAAAATATCTCTTCAAAAACAAGAACTTGGTTCCTTTAAAAGTTAGCTCTGAGTTCATGTGTTTTGAATAATGGGTTGCTGCTGGTGGAGGAGAGGGAGTGCTCTCTCTCTCTCTCTCTCTCTCTGTGTTTTGGGGTTGTACAGATCTCTCTCCCACCACCAGTTCTGGGGGAGGCACAGGATAGTGATCTATTTATTGTTTGCCTTTTCTGGGCAAAGGGTTGCTGTGGGGGTAGAAATATTTGTGTTAGAAGTAGTCTTTTCCGTAATTGTTGTGAGGATCCACCCCACCCCATATACACACAAAGTTTTCTAGCTTGGCACACATGCACTTGACTCATATGTTAGCCTGCATTGGCTCTGCTTTCACTCTTGGCACTGCCTATTGTTAGGGTGTGACTGCACTGGAAAGCCGAATTGGAGTGATTCAGCTTTGCTGTGATTTGATTCACAGCCTGTATTAGATTTAAAAATCGCAGCCAATGTGATCAGGGTCTATAAACTGATTTGGGAGTTCATCATACTGGATTGGGTGCCATTCCCATTCCAGCCCCCACCACCACCACCACTTTCCTTCCTTCCTCTAGTCCTGCTTTCGCCAATCCTTTTATGGGCCATAAATATGGGAAACAATATTAACAGTGACCCAACAATAAGGTGATAGGGTGATCTAGCAGTAATCTCATATATGTACAATATTTTTTTTTTAAAAAATTAAACTTTCTTTCACTCCAGACCAGTGAGGGTTACTTCAGCCAGTCACAAGATGAAGACTTCAACCAATCAGAAGAACCATCTGCTAAGGCTCCTCCTCCAGTGTTCTACAATAAGCCCCCAGGTGAGGGTGATGGATGGGTGGGTGGAGCCACCTTTAGGACACATCCCACCTTTGGGACACATCCTCCCGCCATCTGGGAGGCCTCCCCATGGCCCCCTCCTGCTCTGGAGCTCCCTGAGAACAGAAGCTTGGGCAAGATCCTCTTTCAGAGGGATGGCCTGAGCAAACGGCTCTCCTTCTTCACTAACCCATCCACTTGCTTTCGCCCTCAGAGATCGACATCACTTGTTGGGATGCTGACCCAGTGCCAGACGACGAGGAGAGCTTTGGGGGCAGCGTTTAAGGCTGGCCCCCATGTCCCTGTCCCTGTTCCGTGCACCCAGCGAGCCCAGCGTGTGCAAGCCTGGAGGAACCGCAGTGAAGGCCTGGTGCCTGCTCGCTCCGTATTGTAGCCCTGCGGTCCAAGGCCTCAGAATGTGCCCCAGCCAGTTAGGATATTCTCCGTGGTACTATGGGGTAACTTTTTTCCAGCGCGCTCTCTCTTTCTCTTTCTTTCTCTCTTTTTCTAATGTTGTCAAATAGGAAAACGTGTAAATCTGCCTGGTCCCCTTCTTTGTTGGTAGCTTCCCTGCAGCCCCCTTTCCCCTTGCCTCTTCTGCCCACCAGGTTTTTTCTGATTCCCCTCCCAAGTTGCCATTTAAGCCAACTGGGTTGATCTCCTCTGCGTGCTGCTCTTGGGGGAGGGTGGGATAGGGTGGGGAGGAGTCTTTCCTCCTCTCTGACTCTACCCAGAGTTTTGAGGATTTTGCACGAATTTAAAATAAAATTATGGCAATAAAATGGCCCGGTGTGGGCAAGGCTCTAGTTCCCAACCCTTGCTCTGCCTTCCTCATTTGGTCTCCAACGTGCCCAACGTCTAGGGAAGTGACAAGATCCCTGTTCAGCTTTCGGCATCAGTAGGAGTGAGCAGCAGCCAGGAACCACTTTTACCATCATAGCTCAGCTCTAATGGCCCCATGGTTGAGAGCAAGCTCATTCCAGACCCTTCTCCTTAGGCCTTGATTTGCCCTGAGAGCCTGGGACAAGAGGCTGCTCTCTGGGTGGGCTCCCCTTTCCCCCTCTTTTTCCACCCTCTTCCCTCCTCCATCCCATGCTTGGTTTCCTTTCTCTCATGTACCGTAACTGTTTTTTTGAAAGCACAAATTCTGTAACAGCAATGTGCTTATGTATGTTAATAAATAAATTGATTCCAAGCAGGGCAGCTGGCTTTGCAGCATGGGGTGACCTCCTTCTTTTCTTTCCATTTTTCCCCTTTTTTAAAAAAAAGTGTTAGTGTATGGAGGGGGCAGGAAGACAAGGCCACTGGCTGTGTGAAGTGGATTCTGTGGAAAACTGCCTGCCTCTTGTTTTAAATGTTCTTTTATTGGTGTTTTGATAGGGCTCTTTGCTGTAAGCCATAAATGTTTAGAAAAGTACTTTGGTGGGAGAAAGAGGCCTATGAAAATTGGGTGGGCTTTTTAAAAATAGATTTTGGGATTCATGTGACAGGTGGAAAAGGGAACAGGATGAACATCAATGTGCAGTTGAAGTGATCGTGTCAGCTGGGGAAAGCCACTAGGTGGCACTGGTAACAAAAGAATGCATTCCTGGAAGAGGCTTCCTTTCTGGGTAATCAAACCCAGAATCTGTGGACTACTGTTATTTGGAAATGGGGTTGCTTCACCTCCTACCCACAGTGCATATTTCAATCTAAAAGCACAATGCACCCACCTTTCTCATGCATGGACTCAAAACCACCCAGTACCAGGTTTATAGTAATAAATCAAGTTCCACAAACTTTATTATTGTCAAAATGTAACAAACAAAAAATAGGAAACAAAGTTTAGGCCAAGCCAGAGGCCCCCTTACAGTCAGCACCAACAGAGCCTGGAGTGGGCCCAGTAAAAGGAAAGTGGGTGAGATGGGGAGACCAGCCCCATTCTCATCCTGGCCAAGAGGTCAATAGTGATGATGGGGATCTTTGCCCTGTGAAGGCCTGTGGCCCTGACATGGCTGGAAGGCTTGGACTAAGGGCCTTGGTGGCTCCCACGGCTACCAGCTGGCCGTCTCCAGCTTCCGGCAGCAATCTACAGTCCCGCACAGATGGCTGCAGCAGGGCACGCTAAACTGCCGTAGTCCTGCCAAACAAAGGCATTGAGACGGGCAGATGCCAAGGCCCAGGCTCATAGCTGTCTCTGGTGCTGAGTTCTGAGTCTGTCCAGCTGGGGAAGATGCGCTGCGAGTGCTCTGACTCCAAGTAGAGGCTGGTGCAGGTGGGGCCCCGGCTGGCAGAACTTGGCAGGTGAAGAGCTGAGCCGTAGCCCCGATCCAGGAAAAGGGGCTTATAACTGGGTGGCTGCTCCTGCTTCTCCGGCTGCTCATGGCTCAGGAAGGGAGTGTTGATCTTGCGGTACAAGCCACGTGTGTCTGTCAGGACTTCACTGTAAGGCGGTGGGGGCTCAGCCATCAGCACAGCTTCCTCATAGCAGGGCGGCTTGGATGGATCTGGCTCTGAAAACAAAGTGATCACACCTGTTCAATGTACAGAACTGGAGATACAGGCCCTCAATTCTCAACCTCTGGAGGTGGGCAGGGGGCAAGTAATAATGTTCCTACTAATATGAAACAAAAGGTAGATCCTCCTAGGCCATGATGGATGATCCAATGGCCTTCACTCTGATGGCATATTTATCCAACTTATTTACACCTCATGATTTCGACAGCAAATGGCAGTCCAGGAGGCAAACAGTGCTAACAGTAAGTAATAGCAAACACAACTAAAACATTAAAACCACATTTGAAAATACATCAGTAAGAAGACACCATCCAGCCAAAGTCATCCTCAAAAACAAACTCATTTAGAGGGAAATGTGTATTATGTGCCATCAAGTCAAAACCAACTTACAGTGATTGTAATCGGGCTTTCAAGGTAAATGAAATAGTTAGGGAGTGTCTTTACTAGTGCTTAAACATACACACACTGAGTTATATGGCCAAATAGGGATTTAAATCCAGGTCTCCTAGTCCTAGTCTTTCTGTGCATTACACCACACTACTTTTAGATGTCAAAGCGTTCTCTCGATAAAAGGTGTTTCCTTACAGCAGAAGGACAGCAGGAAGGAGACCATTCTACCCACCCTACGCCTTGGGTTCTGGAGCCCAGAGGTGACGATGGAGAAAGCTCAAAAACTAACAACACCTACAGAGCCCCATTTAGCAATCAACTCAAAAAGGACCAAGAGTAGGAGGGACTGTTAGTACACTGCCCCAGAAGGGGACTGCTTGCTCCTTAAAATAAGTATCCTGGCATATCTTTAAGCTTGAGCTCATCTGTAATCCTTCACACCAGCAGTGGGAAACTGGTGGTCCTCAAGAAGTCACCGGACTACAGCTCCCATCAGCCCTAGCCAGGAAGGACAGTGGACTGGAATGAGGAATTGTGGTTCAACTTCACTTGGGGAACTACAGGTTTCCCGGTCCTGCTTTAAGCAATTGAAGAATCACTCTCTTTTCCACGTTAAAAGAGATGAAGCTAGAAAAGAAATTAATGAGCTATAGTTTAAAGTCTTAAATACTTCAATTTTTGGAAGGCCACTGTGGATACCTTAAAATGAAAGCCAGCAATAACTCCTGAGACACATATCCCTCCACCTATCCTGTCAAGCGTCCGTTCACTGTATGAGTCACGTGTGCCCTAAAAGCCCTCCCGTTGCCCTTACCATGCCTGCAGCTCCAAGGCCTTGGGGGTGGGAGGTGAGGACGGTGGGGCTCAATGCGGAGTCGGTGGGGCACAGCAATGCCTGGTGGGCTTCGGATATAGCCAGCTCCATAGCCTGAGCCGCCATAGGCAGGGCCCCCATAACCCTCATAGTGTAGGGGTTCCATCTCCAGCGTGCGTAAATGCTGCTCCCGCAGCCGCTCTTCTTGTCGCCGTTTCATGCGTCGCCGCAAGTAGCTACAGAAGCAGCATAGCAACACGATGAGGCCCCAGATCAGCCAGAAACCAGCAAAGCAGGTAAGGAAGGTGTAGGTGCCATGGGACATCACCATCTTTGCTCCTGGGAACTGGTGGAGTGCCCTAGAAGTTTCTCTCGATGGGTTTTGAAACAGGTGTTCTGCACCTCCAGCTGGATTTGGGAGTCAAGATGGTGTTGGGAAGACGCTCGCTCTGTCTCCGATTGCTTCTGCAAAGAGGGAATACCAGCCTCACTTCTGCAAAGGGCCTTGTCCCTGTGTCGCTGGATGCCCAGTCATGTTGGCAGAATCACAAAGCGTCCCTCAGCTTCGCTTGTGTGTGTGTCTTCTCACCTTTTCCAGATATGGCACAAGTTCCACCCCTGGCAGGACCTCAGTGCGTGTCCGTGGAATGGTCGGCCAAGGCCTGGGCGCTGCAGCAGCTTCTGCCTCTTCTAGTCAAACAGCCTCCTCTGTGCGATTTGCAGCCGTTGCCATGGAAACAGTTGATTGGATGCAGCGACAAGGCTGGGCCTTTTATGGAGAAGGGGGAGTTCTTGCCCCTAATGGAGCCCAGCGGAGGAAAGGAGAGTGCTGGGGGAGTTCGTGAGCATGGCCTGTATTCTCTTCTTGAAGTTCCTGAGTTCTTGAGTGACACGACCAGTAACACCAGCACCCAGCCCAACTCCTTCCCATTGCTAGGTCAGAGCTTTGGGGGGCCAAGGACAGGGATGACAGGAACTCTTTATCTAAAAAAACAGACAGATAAGGCCATTGAGTGTAGGACAGGCACACTGGGCACGTCCTGCGCTGTCTAACCCCTTCCCCAATAAAACAAGCAGGCAGCAATGAAACGTTCATGATGGGGGGGAGGCGCACAGTCATGACACCGATGCAGACAATGCAGTCCTCCCAGGCACATCAGTCTTACCATGGGCAGCTACAAAGAAGAGGGGGAAGCTCTTGGCATAGTGGGTGTGAAATGGTTATACAGCACCCGCAGCATACAAACCCACAAAGCAACCTTGCTGCTTTAGCAGTCTCTAGCCAGCACCCACCAAGCAAGCATGTGCACAGTTATAGCTGACCCGTTCTATGCAGCCACTGGGTTGCCCACACATTCTCTGTCACATGTGCTCACAGGCATGTGCACATTGTGCACACAAAGCAGGCTGGCATATGGTGTTCTGACCAAGTCTGTGGGCCCCATTGCCCTAGCTGTTTAAGTTAAGTTGGTGTGCGCCAAGGGAGGGGGGGAGAGAGGGAGAGAACGCTTGACGGGCAACCACTCTGGCAGGGAAAGAAGGGCTTCAGGAAACTACAAAGCACAAAACATTCACTTAATGCAGTGAAGAGAAGCCAATAAAACAGCAAAAGCTCAAGTGCCAAAGCGCTACCTCACGCTTCCTTCCCATGGGCACTGGCAGCCTGAGGGAGCTCATCTGCTCTCCAGCAGCAACCACCACAGAAGTCTCCTGCCCACACATCTCTCAGTTTCACCCCTCAAGAGCCTGGTTGCCACATGGCGCCATGAACAAGACTGCCAAGGTCTGTTTGACACGTTGCCTTCTTTCCCTCATCCCTGCCAGGTCGTCGATAATGGCCATCCTCTTCGCGGGGTAGCTTACAGAGCAACAAGCATGAAACCACAAGGCTTTATAGAAGTGGGAGGTCACTTTTCCCTCAGCAAAGGCTTGGTGTCAAGTCTGTTCTCTCCACTGACCTCACGCTTTCTTTGTCATGGTCCCTGTTGTGATGTCTGCTCCTCAGACCACATTGTCAGGAGAACATAGGCAGCTTTCATGACGAATTCCTCTGGCTCATATACTGCAGAGGGAAGCCACTTCTGAGCGCTAAAGCTCAAGCATAGTAGGTGGTATTACTGGACCAGAGCTTGGAAAATGTTACGTTTGAGATCATAACTTTCAAAATCCCCCCAGCCACCATGTCCTCTCGAACAGTATGTCTAGATGCTATTCACACGTGCGTGTGTACATTTCATATGCATATACATATGCGTGTACATATATAGTTCCAAAGTGCAACTACATCAAGATTAAATTCTGAGGAATTCAACACCAGGAGTTAGAATCTCTTCCGTTCTGAATTTGGTCCCCACCAACTTGTGTAAAACTTGTGAGAATCTATCTTTCTCCAAAGATGGCCAGAAACAAAGGGAGGCACAGTTAAGACATACAGTCTAAGACTCACTACTGGACAAAACAACCGAGGAATGAAAGTGGACAGAATGTGCAAAGTCACCGAAGGCCTACCAAGAACTAATTGGAACCTCAGATTCCACTCCTGTTTTATCCTCAGGGATACCTGGCAATATGTTTTGCAAAACAGTTTTAAGCCTTTTGACTCTGGCTGATGAGCCTCCATACAAACACAGAAGCCCTTCTAGGTCAGATGGAAGCACTGCCTAAGTCCAGAATTCTGTCCCCACAACGGTCAATCCAGAGCTGGGCAAAGTTGCCCTTGGGAACAATGACACTTGGGCTCTCCCTGTCAGCATGGCCACAGGGAATTAGAGTCCAGAAATCCAGTCCTTTTAAATTCTGCCAGTTAGATACCTTTAGGGCAGGGGTGGGCAAAATGCGGTCTTCCAGATGTTACTGAACTGCAACTCCCATAATTCCTATCCCACACAGCCAATAGTGAGAAGATTTGGACCTAGCCCACACAGTGAGGAATGTTGATGTTTACAGTTCAGGAACATCTGGAGGGCCACACTTTGCCCAGGTCTGCTTTAGGGAGAGAAGAAGTAGGATATGTTTGCAATCAGAAGTGTGCAGATTTATGCTTTTGGAATCCAAAAACACAAATCTGTGCAGCTGCACCCTTGGCAAGCCCCCAAAGCACAACTATTTGTATTCCTCACCATCTCAAGGCATTAAGAGATCAGCCATTGCCGAAGGGGAACCATTTCCCTACTGCCACCACTCTGCTGTGTCTACTACTGGGGATAAGCAGCCTTACAACCATCAGAGCCCAAACCAGTTCTTAAAACTGAAACCTAGCCTGACTTCAGTCTTGTGTGGACTGACTCCATTTTTACTAGAACCTTGTCTTTACAATTCACAATGTAAAAATGCATGACCAGGATCTCTGTAGTAGCTGAAGTCTAAAGAACCTACGGTTGTTGGTCCTGAATATTCTTCCCTTGAGGAATGCCTTCTATGAATCACAGCAACCAACAAATATCCATTGATCTACCAAAACATGGACAGTACAGTGGTCTGCTCAGGTAGGTCTGTGTACTTTCTGACCACTTGTTAAGATATCAGGAGGAGGAGGAAGTCACAACTGACAATAGCAGATTTATATCCAGTTGTAAGATATACAATAGATCTAGGAGGAAGTCACAACTGACAATAGCAGATCTATATCCAATTGGAAGATACACAATAGATCTGCAGCAGAGATGTCAAAATCCCTTTGAAGCAAGGGCTGTACACCTTTGCTTCAATAGTCCTATAACTAACAACAAGGATCAGCAACTGTAGCACTCCAGATGTTTTTAGCCCACAACTTCCATCAGTCTCAGCCAGCCTTGCCTGTGGTGGGGATTATGGAAGCTACAAAAGTATCCAGGATCACAGCTCTCCACCCCCTTGCACGGTTTTTATCAACCTTTTGCGATCTTTATTGTTTTCCTCCACATCCTTTCCTATTCTTGAACTGCAACAGCCCAAAGTGTTCTGAAGCCCAAGTGAGGCTAAAACAAACTGAACTATTACTATATGTGCCATCAATAAGTTGATAAAATATATTTCAATATTGCATACATATTTTCAATTGTGATATATCATCCACTAATAAAAGCTATTTAGAGAAATGAGAACTGCCTTCCAATACGGATTAAGTTCTTAAGTCGAGACCCCACTGTATATCATCCACTAATAAAAGCTATTTTGAGAGATTATAAGCAAAAATTATCTATATACAGAACAACCACAAGGCATCACCACGTATGAACAGTCAACTTTAAATACAGAAGCAGTGATCAAAAAGTAGGAGACAACAAGAAAAGCATTCTGGGAGCAGCTGGTTAGTCTAATGGAAATAGGAAATGAACGGAATGGAATGAGCCAGCCATTCTCATCTTTACTGAAAGCACATGTTAAGGGGGGGAAAAAACTCTTGCAACCTGTAAGCTGCCCTGTTGTCTTCAGCTGCAGTGCAGAATCCTGCCCAGTCACTACTGGTGAAGTGAAATTCAACTGCCTATCCAGCACCTTTAGTATGCAGAAGAAAGTGGGCACTTTTGCCTCAGACAGAAAAAGTGTCTTGGGTGCTTGTCTCACTTGGCAGCTCCCATCAAAGAAATGTAACTGAGCCAAGGATGAACATGGCTGCTGGTAGAGTATGGCGGGGGAGATACTAAGGGGTACTCTAGAGATGCCAACAACAAAGTGATGCCCTTTGCTCTTTCCAAAATTTATCAAAAGACAGACGGATGGACGGATGGACGGACGGACGGACGGAAGGAAGAAGAAAGAAAGAAAGAAAGAAAGAAAGAAAGAAAGAAAGAAAGAAAGAAAGAAAGAAAGAAAGAAAGAAAGAAAGAAAGAAAGAAAGAAAGAAAGAAAGAAAGAAAGAAAGAAAGAAAGAAAGGGGGGTGAAGACGCCGATGAACTAGCGGTCTTCTAGAGCCAGTTATCTTCTTCCAAGGAACTCCAACAGCATAAAGCTGGCATTATCTAAAGGGTGGCTACAAATCCTCTGTAATTCCAATATACAAATAATGGAATTTGAGGGTAGTCATATGAGCCAGCTTCCTAGGAAGCCCAGCTGCTGCTACTGTTTCCCTCCTTCCTTCCTTTTTTTACAGCATTTCTCCAGTTCTTATAGCTCAAAAGATAGGTATGTGAGCATGAGAATGACTTCTCATGGAACAAGTGGGGACTAAACTGGACAAAGGAGTACAATGCCCTCCATACCTTTGTTTCCTTCTGCACAGATTGGCCAGAGTGGGTGAGGGGAGAATTCTACAATCTTACCCAAAATTCACATTTTCTCCCTCTCCCACACACAGACATTTTCACACCTCTAACAAGAATAGCAAGGAACCTTGATCACTTGATATCCTTTAATGGTACATCCAAATAACCTATTTGAGACTGGTTGCTTCACCCACCCAAAGCCCAGGTGCCTATTTTGACTTCTGTATAATGATTACAGGGCATAACAAGTAACTACTGCTTTCCAATGCCACAGAATTTGAATTACCATAATGCAAAAATAAGTAAATACATACATACATAGTAATTTTTAAAGATGAATATTTAAAGTTGAATATTTTCTTAAAGGGTAATGCAAAGTACTGCTATGGCCAGATGCATTTCAGGTCCATGGCCAGTAGCTACACTGGCCATGGAGTTCCAGGAACAGTAGCTTTTCCAACTTATCCATTGGATTGCAGTCACTTTCTAAGTACAGAAAGTTGTGGAACAAAAACAAGGTCATCCTGCAAGACCTCTACCTGGAACAATCTTGACTCTGTGAGATTTTGTTGGCTGCTGGCCAGAAGCAAGCATTCACAGAGCTACTTGGATTTTTGTGAATATATTACAGTCCATGGGGACAACACAGCCCCACTTAATGGAGGACAGGGCAAGATGAACACCCTACTAACCCACAACGCAAAACATTCAAAGGACAGGTAGTCATAAACCAGTGAGGACACACCTTTGAAAACCAGCAGGACAGGGCCCTAGCTTTCAAGCCCTGCTTCTTAGCTTCCCTTAGGGTTATCCCTTTGGCCACTGTGGGAAACAGAATTCCAGAATTGATGATGGGGTACCAGCCCACAGCAAAACATGGCTCAATGGAGCACTGTCACAGCAGGAAAGGCATTTCAAAGTTACGCCAACAACAGCCTTAGCATTGTACAGGGGTGGGGGTGGGCAATGTTTAAGTTCATGCAGGTAGCCAATCAATCCTCTCCAACAGAAAAGACTGGCATGCTCTTTTAAGCCTAAATCATTTTAATACAGCCCTCCTGTGTATTGCAATGCTCTGACACGAATAAAAACATTAAATACTCCTGCTAATTAAAATAAGGAAATCCAATATACACATGTGTACATGTACGGGAGGGTGTACTCCTTGCCTAAAGACCCAGGAATGTATAGCAATTCCCTGAGCACTTAGCTATGTAGATATAAATATAGATAGATACAGATATCTCAATGTACTATACGGGTGGGTTTGGTGCTTTTTTTCCCCCCATACATCCACCAACTGCAACCCTCTGAATTGAAAGAGAAATCCTACAGGAGGAGAATCGAGTGCCTTCCCTCTCCCTAAAAGGAAAGGGAACAGCGACGCCTGTGCTGGGCAATGCAGATTCCAGCACCAAATCACGACGATAAATGTCAAAGTAAAGACTTAGCAGCACCTTGGCAAGGACTCCTCCTCAGCATGAATCTGGCCTTGTACGAGGCTGGCTTCTCCAGGAGGCAGAACAGGATGACTGGCATGTTGTGTTGGCTGTGGCTGTTGGAGAGGTGGGGTTTTTTGTAGCATTGCATCAGAGGAGCAATCCAGAGAACCCATCCTCCCTTTAGAAACCCAGGCTGCCCACCCCCATCGGCCCCCACCTCGCCAATCTAGAGCACCCAGAGGAGGGACTGCTGACCGATCCCTGAAATCTCTTGGTGTTCCTGAATGGAGAGATTCACAGCCTCTCCTACCTCAGGGACCCTCTCTGTGTGTCTACACTGAGGTGCATGGTGCCCATCTCAGCCTCTTACCTACATTGAGGGCAGATGTGAATTTGGGAGATAGTCGGCTTTTGCCTCTCAGATGTTCAAGAAGGTGCTTTCTTACAGCTATCCGCACTCACTGCCCCCCCCACTTCTATTGAGGCTTCTCCTCACATATCAGCTTTGTTCATCCATGTGTGTAATGGCCCTTCTGTACAGGCAAGTGGGTTAGAGAGACATCCCAGGCTGGGGCTTTTATGAGAATATTAATAACCTGGTTTCCAAAATAATGTACCACAATAATAAAATACAGACACAATACACAACATTAAAAAAACCAGTATCTGTAATATTGATAAGATAAAGCAGAGCTCACCCAGACTTAATTGGAAACCAGCAAGCCCTTAATAGTCTCTCAAGAGGCCACAAAGAGCAGCCGATGCAAAGGGACACAAGCTGCACAAAGAGGGTTTGTTGTCTTGCCACTGATAACACACTTGAGGCAAAGCTCAGTCTGGGGCATGTGGGATTAAAGAAGCTCCTGAGCATGTGTGAAGTGTCTTCGCCTCATCCCTGGAGAAAAAGACTCACTGCCACGAATCCAAAGGGGACATCTAGGAGTGATACCTGATTTCTAAAAAGAAGAGTGCTTGATTGTGCCCAAAGGCTACGTCATTTGCCCTACAAGACCTAGCTCAAGGTATTCTGCATATTGGGACACATCATCTCCCATATTCCAAGATCCAGCTCGGATTCTAATACTCCACAATTGAGTCCTAGAAGCAGATGGAAGACTGGCACCTTTCTAGCTACTACTTGCCACTAGAAGGAATGACAGATGCATCGCTTTGTACAGACTCCGTGGTACACAGAACTGCACACTGGGGAAAGATGGCACGGGGGGGTGAGCAACAGGCCCAGTCTCTCCCTCGCACTCTGGTTCCACCCCACTTTCCAAAGGGAAATGTCTCCGGCTCTGTTTTTCCAGAAATCACATTAACTCCATCTATGCCAACCATGAAGCCAGTGCTATGTGTGCAACGTGTGAGCTGCAACCCTTGTCAGCTTTATCCACTGGCTATGCTGGCAGGACTATAGTACTGGGAACAGCAGCCCCGAAACTTTAGAGCAGCTCATATTTCTGACCCTTCCCCTCTAGGGCAATCTCACC